TTGGTAGGAGAAGGAGTGTCACTTGCAGGCCAAAGTGTTGAACCTAATGATGATATACTAGCAGATGACACAACTCCTAATATAAAAAGGAAAGGAGGGAGACCATCAAAGGAGAAGTCAAAGGTCAGTTCCAAGAGGCACAAGGGTAGACCTAAGGAAAAAGGTGTGGATGAAGGAAGGACAATTTCCATCATAAGTGGTGAAGCATCTAGTGATGAAGATGTCATTGATCTTGGAGTTAGAGAAAGAAATAGAGGTAAGAAAGTTTGTCGTGGTTTGTCAGATTTTGAGTATGAAACTGAGGACTTAGTGAGTGAGGATGAAGCTAGCAGTGAAAATTCAAGTGAGGATGACAATGTTAAGTACCCATCATTTGTCATGCCTAGGAAGTTCAATGACTATAAGTGGGTTTTAGGGACCTTATTCTCAATAAAAAAGGAGTTCAAAAAAGCTATTACTAGCTATGTTGTTCGTAATGGAAGGGATTTAAGGTACTTGAAGAATGACAAAACTAGGGTTAAAGTTGATTGCAAGGAAGGTTGTCCATGGGTGGCCTTATGTTCCAAATTACCTAATGCAGATACTTGGCAGTTAAGGACACTAAATGATTGTCATACTTGTAATAGGGAATTTAATGTTAGAATGTTTAATTCTAATTGGCTTGGGAAGAAATTGTACACCACAATTAGGATCAACCCTAATGTTAAGATGACTGCTATATGTGAAAAGGTACATGAAAAATGGAATGCTGGTATGAGTAGGACGAAGGCATATAGAGCAAGAAAGACAACACTGAATATTGTTGAAGGGTCCTTCAAGGAGCAATTTTTAAGGTCGTATGACTACGCACATGAGGTATTAAGGTCAAATCCCAACAACACCATCAAGTTAAATATCCAAGCAACTGAACAAACAATTTGAACTTGAACAACAACCTAATGAATATGTTAGTGTACCTTTGTCACCAAGTTTTCATAGATTGTATATGTGCCTTGAAGCTTGTAAGAATAGTTTTTCAGTATGCAGACCGATAATTGGTGTTGATGGATGTTTTCTTAAAGGCATTTATGGAGGCCAAATCCTTGCAGCAGTAAGAAGAGACCCTGATGACCAAATGCTGCCTATTGTAATAGGTGTAGTTGAAGCAGAGACAAAAGACTCCTGGGCATGGTTCTTTGATATACTAGTTTGTGACTTGGGTGGGCCAAAAGTTTGTCAAAATGTGAGTTTTATCTCAGATCAGCAGAAGGTAACACTAAGTTTTTTACTTTGTTCCATTTATGTCCTACGTGATTTTTACTTTTGTAACATTCAGGTTAGCATATTATGTAACATTAAGGTTCCATTTATGTCCATATATACCATGCATTAAAATTTACCATAGTTAACATACTTATGTAACATTCATAACAAACTTATGTTACAATGTAGTCCTTCAAGATTTTAAAATGTTACCATATATGTCATGTATGCATTATAACATACTATGTTTAATTTATGATTAGGGGTTGTTACCTGTAATAGATGAGTTGTTACCCGAAGTTGACCAGATCTGTGTTAGACACCTTTATAGCAACTTCAGAAAAAGATTTCCAGGAAAACATTTGAAGGAATTGATGTGGAGGGCAGCAAAGGCAACATATCCTCAAGCATGGGAAAAAGAGATGAAGGAAATGAGGAAGGTAAATGAGGAGGCATTCAAACACTTGTGGAAGACTCCTCCAATATATTGGAGTAAGTCTATGTTCAAATACAATACAAAAAGTGATGTCTTGGTGAACAATATGTCTGAAACTTTTAACAGTGTTATAATTGGACCAAGATAAAAGCCAATTGTAACAATGATGGAAGAGATTAGAGGGTACCTCATGGATAGATGAACAACTAATAGAGCCAAGATAGAAGAGTACACAAAATTTGTTCTTCCAAGAATTAAAAAATGGCTTGAAAGAAGGAAAGATATGTCTATGTTTTTATACCAAGGTACATAATCTATTTACAAGTTAGTCATTAACAGAACTTGTTCTTTTAATTTTACCAACACTAACTCAATCAATTGAATTTGTTTCAAAGGTTGTCAAATGACATGATTTATGAAGGAGGCATACAAGTTTGAGTGGTGAAAAGTTCACAGTTGACCTCAGAAGGTTGGAGTGCTCTTGTAGGAGTTGGATGCTATTTGGCATACCATGCAACCATGCAATATCTTGTATGCAGAGTAGATCTTTAAACCTAGCTGATTACATCCCTACATGCTATAGGGAGGAGGCATACTAAGCTTGCTACCAATCTTTCATATATCCAAAAAATAGGGAAATTTATTGGAACATACACCTTATACTGACATATTACCACCACCTTCAAGAATAGCACCAGGAAGGCCAAAAAGAAGAAGAAACAAAGAGGCTGATGAAAAGAGAAAGAATGCAAAAAAGTTTCAAGGAAGGGGCTGCCAAACAAATGTTCAATATGTGGTATGTTTGGACACAACAAATCATCATGTCTTGCAAAACCAAAACAAGCCCAAACTGCAACTAATTTCCAAACTAATCAATCCCAAACAACCACTGCAGTCCCAACTGTCAAATCCCAACCAACCCAAGAAGTTCAAACTAGACAATCCCAAACAACCCCAATAGTTCAAACTAGACAATCTCAAATGATCACTACAGTTCCAACTGTCCAATCTCAACCAATCCCAAGAGTTCAAACTAGACAATCCCAAACAATCCATCCAATTCCAACTGTACAATCTCAAATAGCCCACAGATTTCAAACTAGGTTGTCAATATCATCTTCTAGAATCCAGGCACGACAGTCCATCTCAGTGTCACAGTTGCTTGCTATGAGAAGAGGAAGACAAGCTGGTACAACAACATTTCAGCCACCAACAACAATGAGAGCAAAGTTGGCTATTAGGAGAAAGACCAAATATATTGTCTTTTTACCTATAACAATGTTATATTCTGTTGACTTATAAAACAATCTTATGTAATATTTTGGGATCTGGTAGATCCATAACAATCTCATGTAATGTTATGGGATCTTATCTATTGACATCTGTTTTGGTTTTTAACATTATAACAAAGACCTTTGATTATGATTAGTTAATGTCTTGTTTGGTAATCTATTCACATCTCATGTAATGTTTGGTAATGTAATGTAATGCTTTGAGTATGCTTTGAGTTTCATAAATGTTTGATATTCAAATTTGTTTGAGGTTCACAATTGTGTAAAACAATATGTCTGATATTTTTTTAAATGTAACGAACAAGTCTTTTATTTTTTAAATTTGTAACAATCATGACCATGATGTTTTTAATTGGTAACACTTGAGTCCCATATGTTTTTAAGATGTAACAAAGAAGTTCTTATAATTTTTCTGTTGTACAAGGTATACCAGAACTATACCAGATGTGGTAAGGAATTGCAGACTTGTAAAATAGACTCTTAAGACTATTTTAACTGGTCTACATGGTGAAACATAACTGTCTACAAAAGATACTATAATCGTGGTATAAAGTTGTAAAATTGCAACACATAATCGTTTCATTAACCAAACCATTATCAAGACTTACAAACATAAAACCACAAGCAAAGATCAAAACCAACAACATAGCTACATATCCTAGCATATTCAACATCTTCAACAAGTTCTCCTTGATCTCCTTAGTGTATTTCTCATCCTTTTCAATCAAACTAACTTGATTTCAACATCCTTGCCATCACAGTCAGAATATTTAAAAGCTAGTGAGGGTTGTGTCTCTTGTTTGACTTCATCATTGTAATGGTTTTCATACCACGCAAAAAACTTGCAACCGGCGTTTTCATATTCACTCTGTTAACATTAACACACAAAAAAACAAAAACTAATTACATATGCAAACACCAAATCCACAACCAATAATATTTAATAACAGACGTATATGCATCCCAAAATAGCTTCCTCAAGTTTCTTCCTTTCTTCTTAACACACTGTTTTGGCTCCACACGAACATGTAGGTTGGATTCCAGCTTGGGATGCACTCGACATGAATGTATTAGCGTTCGAACATCTTCGATTTTGTCCACTGCTATCATACGACACCATTGATAGAGTAATGAGATTTATGGTTCAAAGTATGTCATTTGAGATTTGAGATTTAGGGGTTTCATTTTCTGAAATCTGAGAAAGAACAAGACAGATTTCACATCAGCAACCGTCAATGACACTTCATCAAGTTAACTGCCACTTCATCACCGTCTGTTCCACATTGATTTTTTTAGAACGAAATTTTTTAAAAAAGTTAACCTTGCAAACGTTAGTTAACTTAAAGGACTAAAGTGTTTTAAAAAAAACTTATGAAACTAACTTATTATTTTAAAATAACTTAGAGCATCTTTAGTGCAAGTTCTGTAGTATTAAATTCTTTAATAGTAACGATAGTTATAAGCAATTTGCATTGGAATAAGAATGACATGACAGTAAGTGAACTAACAATTAGTGGGAGTAAACTATATAACCAACGCACACTATACATTCTCAATGACTCTTATTATTATTTTATTATTGTTTTATATTATTAAAATATCAATAAAGCTCCAACAACTATAAAATGCGGGGTCAAGTTTTGATTTTTTACCCGCAACCATCATTAAGGTAAAAACAACTCAAATCAATTATAAATATTTTAAATCCTACAAATCACTTTGGACCCACAAAAAATATGTTAGTCTATCCATTTAGTTTACTTCCGTTAAAGATGCTTAAAGAATCTAAATAGTATTTAAAGAAAAAGAAAATTGATTAGGATATGTTTGTTTAGGTCGGTGTAAATCGTCCCAGTAGAAAGAAGATAGGACAGTGGAAAAGATTTCACCGGTTGCTTATTAGGGCTAGCGGTTGATCAGATCCGATCACATATTTCATCAAAGCTTTCAAACGAATTTGAGATTTCACAAATCGTTTACGGGTTTTCGGTTAGAGTTAGGGTTTGGTTTACAATTACACTTCACCGGCCATGTACAGCGACGGCGAAACTCATGACGCTCCTCAGAGCCAGAGGAAAATTCCCCCTGCATCCTCCATGTTGTGGGTCCGCAACCTCCGCCGTTTCATAGGATCTGGTGCCGGTCTCGGATCCGAAGCTCTAATGGGTTCGTATCGCATTCTCTTCATGTCTTTGAGTTTTCGATATCAATTACCATTCTTCACGTTCTTCTCATTTTATCAATAACATACATTATCATTATATACTTGATTACTTCATTTTTGCTAATGCAAGGTTGAATTGCTTCAATTGTATTTGTAGTACTAGGAAAATTTATTCATGCTATGCTATCTCAAACCATAGCAAAACCCAAGTATATGATTATTTATTAGTTTATTTGACTCCATTTTGTAGAGCTTGAAACAAAAAGAATTTTGCTTGACATTTTTAAAGAAAAGCAGAAAAAAAGTGCCGAAGCTGGTACAATTCCCAGTTTCTACAAGAAGGTGTGTCAAAACATTACTTGCTCATTCTGATTTTAGTATAGTATTATGCACACGTTTCTAAGTATCTAAATGGGTTTGATTATTAGCTTACTATTACCATACTTACCAAGCCTTTTGTCCATTGACATGCAATTTTGTTATTTCTTATGATAGGTTTCTTCATTAGAATTTGTGATGGTTAACTCTTGATGATATGAAGTATTCATAAGACTGTGTCTATATAAATGGTTTATTATAATTTTTTGTAAGTATGTAAACCTTTATGCTGTCTTTTATATTTCTTCTTACTGTGTGAATATGCTTGTAACAAGACAGATTTGCAAATTTATTGCCGAGTCTGAGTCTGAGCGGATATATAGTTTTACCAGATATCTTTAGCAGACCCTTACAAGTTACATGTTGTATCTCTTTATACAAGTTCACTTTGTCATTTGTTACTTATTATATAGGATAATTAATATATTTGAATTTTAGATTGTGTTTCTCTGGCGTTTATCATGGAAGACTTATCTATATGCAATTCTAATATTGAAATGTCTCATCTTCTTCTAGAAACCTGAAGAGGGATCAATCAGTCATAGAGTTCAGAGATTAGCGAAGTATCGTTTTTTGAAGGTATTATTTTCTGGCTTACCTCTTTGTTGGTCATAACTGCTTAGAAAATGGATAATTTTTCTCAATTGGTGACATTCCTAGTTCATTTAACAGAAACAATCAGATCTTCTTCTGAATGCTGATGATTTGGATGCAATGTGGGTGTGCTTAAGAGAAAATTGTGTGATCGATGATGCTACTGGTGCAGAAAAGGTCTGTCACTATCACCATGTGCCTGCTTCTTCTTATTTCCCAATTTCGTAATATATATAGCTGGATTTTCTATTATTCATTGCTTGACAAATCTTTGAAATGCACCACAAAATTCACGGGAGCTTGCCATGCTTAACCAACTTCCCAGTTTTAAAAAAGGAACACCTAAACTCTTGCATTTGTGCAAGCTTTTTGGGCTGATACATCACATCCTCAATAACAATCCCCAATCCATGCTTCTAGATTGTAATTCTTTAATCGGTAACAAATCCTTGGATACCATAAAGATTAGAGACTCGTTCTATTTCACAAGACATAATTGACTTGTGCTCTATTTATACTTTTAACTGAATTTTGGTGTATATTCCAGTATGAATTTTTGCAGACGGTATTTGTTTCTGAGCAATGACGTCAACGTATTCCTTCTTCATGAATGCTTATTTTGTCTATCAAGATAAAATATTTCTTGTTAAACGTGAGACATAAGTTTATATTGTTCATCTAATTAAAAGCATAATTTTGCTAAGATTTCTACTTTGCTCATCTAAAAATTTACTGCAATTTTCTTTGTGATGTATAATTTATTTTATTGGATTGTTACTTGGCTTCTTTGCCTTTGCACCCGAACTCTATTCTTGACGCAGTCCTTGTATACTTTAATTTGTTTTTTACAGATGAATTATGAAGACTTTTGCCACATTGCTTCTGTATGTACAGAACAAATAGGTCCTAAATGCCGACGATTCTTTAGTCCTTCTAACTTCATGAAGTTCGAAAAAGATGAGCAGGGGAGAATTGCCATTCTACCATTTTACCTTTACGTGATGCGTACGGTAGGTCATTTCCAACCTGTACTATTTTAGTGTTTTTTTTTTTTGTTTAATTCTCATTGATGCTTTACTATATATGTGGCTCTGTGTTTTATTTCTTCATTCAAATTTATTTGCTCCTTGTTTATTCTTACCTCGAGCTTGATGAGTGTAGCCAATATATATGAAGGTATCTAATGATTATGGTTGTACAGGTTTCACTTACACAGGCAAGAATTGATATGAGTGAGCTTGATGAGGATTCTGATGGTTTCCTTCAGCCACATGTATGGATTCTTATCTCTGTCAGGCTTTCAATTGTTAGGAATTGAATTGAATTCAACTATTTGTTAGAAATTTCATTTATTCAAATTATTTTCTTTTTGTTATGCACATATATTTATAGAAAATAGTTGCTCTTGTAAACACGTATTTCCATTCATAGCAATATTTTCTCCGGCCAACTATCTATATTTATTTAACCTTTATTCTCAACTATCTTATACCAATTTTTGATTTATGATAATTTGACCTTTATTCTGTTGGCATGCTTATATTTCCTGTGCATATAGCAAGTTAATTTCTTTTTGGGCCCTTAATCTTTTGAGAAATCTAACATTTGGAGTGGTTTATGTGCTGTGCTTTGAAGATGGGAAACAAGTTACAATTCCACAATTTTTTGGATAAGAAGATTAGACTAACCTGAAATGTTACCAATTTGTTTTGCAGGAAATGGAAGCCTATATACGAGGTCTTATACCCAATTTGGCACAGTTACGTCGTGAAATGGCTGCAGGCTTTGTTCCAATGTACTGTCGTATTGCTACACACAAGTTCTTTTTCTTTTGTGATCCTCATAGACGAGGTTTGCATGACTGATATCTTTTAAATGCTATGTGCCATTTTATAGTTATGTTATCTTTTATTTGGAATTTTTATTGCTACAAAATATATTTTCTTGTAAAGCCTAATTTTTTATTGCTACAAAATATATATAATTTAAAATAATTGAATTGAAATTTAATATGATCCAAATTGAAGCTTTTAAATAAAGTTGAGCACCATAACAAATGCTTGTTTATTGTTATTGAATCGTATATTACTGATGTTGGTGATGCTACTCTGTTTGTTCTTTATTACATATCTGTCTTTCTTTGGACAATTTTTAATTTTAATTGACATAAGCAAGGTAGACTTGCATATTACAAATTAGTTTGTTTAGTTACAACTTAGAGTCGTGAAGGACTTGCATCTAAAGGGTATCAACATTAGATTTCTACATTGATTATTTCCTTTTATCTTTACTTGATTATATATTGTGTTGCAAATAATTTACAACTGATTAGGCTTTGAGCGTGGAGTAGCACATATGAACACGCCTCTTTTATTTTAAGAGGTGGAGATGAAAAATTACTTTGGTGGCTCGAGGTTGACTGAGTAGGAAGGGAAGTTAATGATATTTAATCATTTCGCTAGCTTGAGAGAATAATGACTGAGTTATAGATTTATGGCTTAACTATACATATTTTATATGTTTGCCGTGCTTGTGTACATTTTTGCCCCCAATTAATTTCAGCTAAACCAGCATATATTTATCCATCTAGTATTATCAAAGTCTACATAATTATTCTTTTTACTTTACAGGAAAAGCTTGCATCAAGAAGGTGCTGCTTAGCAATTGTCTTCAGGAATTAATGGAGCTTCACCAGGTAGGTTATATAAACACTTTTATGTAATCTTTTAAACCAAGCAGCACAGTATATAGCTCTCCCTCTCTCTTTGGTTGGTTCCTCTTCTCTAGGTCCTCCTGGTGCTCATATTTCACAATTGGTTTGGTTTGTTTTAATCAAAACCATGAACTATATTTTGTTCTATCTCCTAAGCTTTACTTTGAAACACTATGTTGAGTATGGTTTTATGTGTTTCAGGAAAGTGAAGAAGAAGTAACAGACACAGAACAAGCCGAAAACTGGTTCTCCTTGACTTCTGCCCAACGTATATGTGGTGGGTATCGTACATTGGTTGAGACTTCAGGATTTATTTACGTTCAGCTTGAGGGTAGTAATAATATCAATCTGAGGGGTTATTCTTGTTTAAATGTTACTAAACATGTTTTGTCACTTAACAAAGAGCAAGATGGCTAATTGGCCATGATTAGGTGTAATGAACTGCCAGCGTGACATTAATCGTAGCTAATTCCCATAGTGAATCTGCAACTAATTTATAGTTAAGTACAGTGTAGGGAACCTGTGGCTAATTGGTAGTTAAAATTCCGTAGGGAATTGGGAGTTATTATTGAAACATATCATTATCATCCATAGATCACATGTCAACGCTAGAATCAACCAAATATAAGCGGATAGTTGGTAGAATAGTGTTGATATTTGTAAATATATATATAAAGTGTTAAGAATATTTGTATATAGAATAGTCCCACATCGACTATATTATGTAATTAGGTGTAATCTATTTATATATAATAATGTCTCCGTAGTGCTTTTCAAAACATACGGTTTATTCAAATGTCTCTTAGTCTCTTGTATTTCAACATGGTATCTAGAGCCTATTAACAAGAGACAATTCTTTCTTTGCCGTATTTTACCCGGTTGACCTACTGTCTTCCGGTGAGAAAAATTTTTTTTTGGCAAACCGTGTTGTCACTCCGGTTTGCCTCTCAACCGCCTTGCCGCCACGGATTACTGATTTTCCGATCCGTTTCCCGCTGCTGCCCCAGAGCCCGATCCGTTTCCCGCTGCTGCCCCAGAGCCCCGCCGCCACGGATTACTGATTTTCCGATCCGTTTCCCGCTGCTGCCCCAGAGCCCCTTTTTCCCGCTGCCCTAGCGCGACCGACGGCTGATTCCGACCGTTTTTCTGCTGATCTACTCACCTCTCCTCACCCATTCCAGATCCGGCCTCTGTTTTACTTTCCGACTCACGGAAAACGGTGCTCCAGTGCAAGCAACCCCGATTGTTTGTGTCATTAAGCTATGGGAGACTCGTTTACTAAAGTTCCTCTTATCCCATGTGAAAAATTGACCGGATCAGCAAACTATAACATATGGGCGCGTGCTGTCGATATGTGGTTTCGTGGTCAGGGATATGAAGATCACCTAACCACACAATTGACTAATGTTGCCTCCGACAAACTTGCTAAATGGAAGAAAACAGATGCCTCTCTCCTTACCGTGTTATGGTTCTCCATAGCACCTAACCTCCAAGCACAGTATCAAGCCTTCTCCACTTGCTATGAAGTTTGGGAAAAGGCCAAGAAAGTCTTCTCCAACGACGTTCATTGTCTATACAGTGTCATCCTCAAACTCGACACACTAAAGATGGAAAATATGGATATGCAAACCTATCTGAGTAACCTTGATGCTTTGAAAGCAAGTTACGCAACCCTCATGCCGTACGCAAAAGACGCAACAGCTCATGCCGAACAACAGAGTAAATTTTTCATGGTGATGGCACTTAAAGGACTACCATCCGAACTCGACTCCGTTCGTAACCAGATTTTATCAGGTACTACTGTTCCTAACTATGATGCAGTTAGTGAACAACTGTTGCGCTTGGCTACACCTCATGCGTTTGGTCCGGTTTCCCCTCCATCTACTGTTGCTACACCAGGTGACACTGCTGCCCTCGCATCTCTGGGCAACAATCAGAGTCGTCCTCGAGGAGGGTCATCCAACTCCAAACCTCGTCCCAAGTGTAACCATTGTAACCGGCTTGGACATACTATCGACCGTTGTTGGAAGCTACATGGCAAACCCCCACGCCAGGTAAATGCAGCTCAAAGTGATAACTCAGAAACTATGCAGACTTCACCTTCTATTCAGAACCCTACGCCAAGCTACGAAGATTTTCTCAGATGGTGTCAGACTAATCAGATCTCTGGTTCCACTGCTTCGGTTGCACACACCGGTAATTCATCTGTTTGCTTCTCTCAATCATCTCCTCTTGGTCCTTGGGTCCTTGACTCTGGTGCGTCTGATCATGTTACTGGTAATAAAGGTCTTTTTTCCTCCCTCTCTACCTCTGGTTTCTTGCCTATTATAACTGCAGCAAATGGTTCTCAAACCCGATCCCAAGGGATTGGTACTGTTCAAATTTTACCGTCTCTCTCTGTTACTTCTGTCCTTTATGTACCTAATTGCCCATTTAATTTACTGTCAGTCAGTCGTTTAACTCGTTCCCTTAATTGTTCTATCACCTTTACTAATAGTAATGTTACTATGCAGGATCGGAGTTCGGGACAGACGATTGGCGTCGGATGTGAGTCTCAAGGCCTCTACTACTTCTCTACGTCATCTACCACATGTTCCACCACAGATTCTCCACTCATTATACATGCGCAGTTAGGTCATCCAGGTCTTCCCAAGCTACAAAAGTTGGTGCCCAGTTTATCTAAATTATCCACTTTACATTGTGAGTCTTGTCAGTTAGGAAAACATACTCGTAGTCACTTTTCCGATCGAGTCAATAAACGGGCTGCGTCCCCTTTTGCTTTAGTCCACTCCGATGTTTGGGGTCCCTCACGTACTGTGTCTACTTTTGAGTCTAGGTATTTTGTAACCTTTATTGATGATTTTTCACGTTGCACATGGTTATTTTTAATGAAGAACAGGTCTGAATTGTTTTCTATTTTTGAACAATTTTATCGAGAAATAAGAACCCAATTTGGTTTATCTATTCGTACCCTAAGAAGTGACAATGCACGTGAATATTTATCCCAACAATTTCAAACATTTATGTCATCCAATGGTATTTTGCACCAAACATCTTGCCCTCATACACCCCAACAAAACGGGGTAGCCGAACGCAAAAATCGGCACCTCGTAGAAACCACTCGGACACTACTTCTCCATGGTAATGTTCCTCTCCGGTTTTGGGGAGATGCGGTGCTCACAGCATGTTACCTCATAAATCGCATGCCCTCATCTGTCCTTAATAATAAAATCCCTCATTCAATCCTGTTTCCAAACTCTCCACTCCACCCAATTCCTCCTCGAGTCTTCGGGTCAACGTGTTTTGTACACAATCTCTCCCCTGGTCTTGATAAACTATCAGCTCGATCACTAAAGTGTGTCTTTCTTGGCTATCATCGATCCCAAAAAGGTTATCGTTGCTACTCACATACTCTACAACGATACCTCGTATCCGCCGATGTTACCTTCTTCGAGTCTGTTCCATATTTCGAATCCAGCCAAGTAACTACAGAACCTCTACGGGAAAGTATTCCCACACCTCTTCCGGAAGTCCCATCTGTCATTATCCCCCATCATTCTAGGGAACCTGACCCACTAGTTACCCCTACGGTTGACCCCCCCACTCGCCCACTTCAAACATATCAGCGTCGTCACCCAAAGTCTGTCGTACCTGTCCCTGAAGTTGTACCTGTCCCTGTAGTCGTACCTGTCCCTGAAATTGTACCTGTCCCTGAGGTCACTATGGACTCTCCTCCGACGCTCTCGCCATCACCGGATTCGATCCTGCAACCTGAGTCTGATCTTCCGATTGCCCTTCGAAAAGGTATACGTCAAACACGAAATCCTTCTCCACATTATATTGATTTATGTTATCATCGTCTTTCCCCTTTGCAGTATACTTGTTTGTCTTCTTTGTCTTCTGTTTCTATTCCTAAAACTCCAGGTGAAGCATTATCTCACCCTGAGTGGAGGCAAGCAATGATTGATGAAATGTGTGCTCTTCAAAGCAGTGGTACCTGGGAACTGGTTCCTCTACCCCATGGAAAATCTTTAGTAGGTTGTCGTTGGCTTTATACAGTGAAGGTTGGTCCAGATGGCAAGATTGATCGATTTAAAGCTCGCTTAGTAGCCAAAGGATACACTCAAATTTTTGGGTTGGATTATGGTGATACCTTTTCACCTGTAGCCAAGATGGCATCTGTTAGACTTCTTCTAGCCATTGCAGCCATTCGACATTGGTCTCTTCATCAACTTGACATCAAAAATGCATTCTTACATGGCGATCTTGAAGAGGAAGTATATATGGAGCAACCACCTGGGTTTGTTGCTCAGGGGGAGTCATCGAATATGGTTTGTAGGCTACACAGGTCTCTTTATGGTCTTAAGCAATCTCCGAGAGCTTGGTTTGGCAGATTCAGCACTGTAGTACAACAGTTTGGTATGATCCGTAGTGAAGCTGACCATTCTGTTTTTTATCGTCACTCACCCCAAGGGTGTATTTATCTTATTGTGTATGTAGATGACATTGTCATAACTGGTAGTGATCAGCAGGGAATACTCCAGTTGAAACAACATCTCTCGAAACAATTTCAGACAAAAGATCTTGGTAAACTCCGTTATTTCTTGGGTATTGAAGTAGCCCAATCTAAAGATGGTTTGGTGATTTCTCAGCGGAAATATGCTATGGATATTTTGGAAGAAACAGGTTTGTTAAATGCTAAACCAGCCGATACTCCTATGGATCCAAGTGTTAAATTACTACCCAATCAGGGGGAGCCTCTATCTGACTCAGGAAGGTATAGGAGATTGGTTGGAAAGTTGAATTATCTCACAGTCACTCGTCCGGACATTTCTTTTGCAGTCAGTGTGGTAAGCCAGTTTTTAAATTCCCCTTGTCAGGAACATATGGATGCTGTTATCCGGATTTTGAGATACATCAAATGTGCTCCAGGAAAAGGTCTTGTGTATGAGGATAAAAGACATACCCAGATAATTGGATACTCTGATGCTGATTGGGCAGGGTCACCCATTGATAGACGATCCACCTCTGGGTATTGTGTACTTGTTGGAGGAAACCTTATATCCTGGAAAAGTAAGAAACAAAATGTAGTTGCAAGATCAAGCGCCGAGGCAGAGTATAGGGCGATGGCAATGGCAACATGTGAACTTATTTGGTTAAAACAGTTGCTCAAGGAACTTCAAATTGAAGAAGCAAGACCAATGACACTTATTTGTGATAATCAAGCTGCATTGCACATTGCTTCAAATCCAGTCTTTCATGAGAGGACCAAACATATTGAGATAGACTGTCACTTTGTCAGAGAGAAGATCGAGTCAGGCGACATCGTCACAAGCTTTGTCAACTCTAATGATCAATTGGCAGATGTGTTTACAAAATCCCTACGAAGCCCCAGAACTAACTATATATGTAACAAG